ATATTAACTACTTGTCACCAGTGCTGAAGCAGGGAGGGTGAAACGAGATGAGGTAGAGCTTGGATTCAGGTGATACAAAAAAGACATACACTTCCCTTTTTGAGCAACACCTGGTTACATTAAGCTCCAATTTTACTTCCTTTTACTCCTATTTTACTTACTTTACTTGGGGGAATATTTTTCTTGAATGTATCCAAATTATGAGAAAGTTCTACTCTGTTTATTGTGAGATTTTTTTATAAATGGGAATTTAAATGGGAAAGCTGATAATTCTGTGCTGGGATTAGGTAGAGGACTGTATCCCTATAGCCTGGGACAACTGCAATGTGAAAACTGCATTCACTTGAGTAATAGTGGCAGACTTCTGTGAGTAGGGGAGTCTGCTGCTCTAGAGATGACCTACTGCTATGGGAGCCACAACTGACCTCATTCTCTCATGAAACCCAGCCTGCTACTGCTTCCTTTGGCATCATGGGGGACACCCACTGCTGGAAAACACTGTGAATGCAGGGGGTTTAAGTCTGTGGCTGAGGGTGTTGTGGAACATTTAGTTCTTTAGGGCTAGCATGAGGCCTAACAGACATTTCTCATTCCACAACTCTCACCTGTGTTAAAACTCAGCTTCTCTGTTTTCAATCTTGATCTCACAGTGAGGACATGTGCCTGGTGTGTGTGTTCCTCTGCCTCAAATTAGCAGTGAGCAGCTCAAGCTAATAGCTGCTAAATGCTTCAAGTCAGAAAAAAAAAAGTGTGTGTATGTGTGTGTATACAAACAGGTGTGTATGTATATGTAATATACAAGTGCCTTGACTATGCTTAGCAATGTTTTATTGTAACTTAATGGATGTTTGAATTGAAAATCACATTCCCACACTTATAAAACTTGTTAATTGCACACCCAGAATATTTCTGCTTTGGGCAGGAGACTCTCCAGTCACAGGTTGTCTATCCCTTTCCCCCTTTTTTTTTTTTATCACATTTGCAGGGTTTCTGAGTGTCCAGCAGCCTGTCATAAGTGGCTGCAGAAACTTGGCATGGATTGAGTCCATGCAGTATTTCAGCAACACACACACACTTCAGATTCACAGCACACATCTCTCAGAGCTGAAGGTGTGTTAAATCCACCGTGTCCAGCACGTGGTCAATGGACTATGCAGAGCATTTGCTTGGTACATATGTAGGACTGCTGATATGTCCTGGATGTATTAGTCTCACAAGCTGTGTGATGTAGCTGCCTATTATGGGATGTGTCAGATTGACTCTGTGTGCAATGTCTCATGCATATCATCCGGTCTGGATAATCCTGAACAGAAGTATGGGAGCCAGGTATTTAGAATTTCAAATATTAGAATGAGATGAATAAATAAATACCAAATTAAATGTTAAGAATCTGGTGAGGTTTAATAGCTGCATAAAGGATTGGTGCATGAGTTCTGATCTGTCTGTGCTGGAAAAAAGTCAGAACTAATGTCTTATAGTGGAGAGAGGAACTTGTTTCTTTTAACTTTTGTAATTAAAACAGTATATTTTTTAGTCTAAATCCATAGTCCATGTTCCTGTAAAGTGAGTGGAAAGATCAAAACCTTCAGGGGTAATTTACCTTCACCTATTTCACCTATTTCAAGATGAGATAGGTCTCTTTTTGAATATACCTTTCTCATTAATATTAGAAGGAAACTAAGTATAGCTTAGAGAAGACACCTAACATTTTGACAACGAAAAATTAGGAAAGATGAATCCTAGCTATTGATATCAATGATTTAGATTATCTGCATACAGTTATTTACTAGTGAATATCCATTCTAATCAAGTTGATGAACAGGCCTGTAGTGTAAGATTCTTGGCAAGTCTTAACCTGTGTAACTGTGCACTCAAAGCAAATGTGATACTACAGTGCATAATAGATAGGGGAAAGAAGAATACCAAAGATATTATAATGCCATTATAAATCAATGATTCCTGTTGTGTAGCACTTCCGAAAGTATCTGGCAGAATTACAGTACGAAGAAATAAAAAGAGAATGGTCCTATGCTTGAAAATATCTTGTCCATAAAGACAGTTTGAAAAGACTGGGACTGGTTACCAGGCAAAATAACATAGCCCATGAGGAAAGATGTAAAAGGTAGTGTGGAAGGAAGAAAGAAATAGCTACTAAGAGAGAGTAGGAAGAATTCTTATGAATAAAAGAGTAGGTGATCACTCTGAATTTATTGATTGACTTCCTATTTGATTGATCAGTAGTTATTTAAAGATACCACTAAGATTGGATTGGATAATTCTGCATAAGTTGACACATAAGAGAAAATCCTGCCCTCCTTTGTGTGCGTAAGTTTTCATTCAGCTGACAGTGTTGCTCTGATGTAACCAGAAGCCAGTATCATCATCATCTTTTGTGACTTATAAAGCAGGTCATTTATTTGTGAGAAAAACTTGGAATATGCCTGGATTTACTTACTATACCAAAAAGAAGCTAATTCCATGAGCAGCTTTGCCTCTTAAGATCAGTGTCAATAATGTTCAATTACACAGAAGTGCACTGTGAAGCCCATGCTTTCTCTATAACTGTAATGTGCCATTCTCTGTGGCTGGACTACACCTTTCCTTACTGGTGCTTTTGCATACTTGCCACTGAGATAGTACCACTTTCTAAACTTAGGTGCAGACATAACCTGTAACTGCCTGAAAGATTTGATTTCCTGATAATTACATGAACTGCTATGGTATTCTCATGTGCAGAGCCTACATTATAAGACACAGGGATCAGGGATAGGCTTTTGGATTATGTCTGAATCTTGAGTATTGATACTTCGGAGAATTTATGAATTCAGGGGAAGATATTTTTCAAGCAAGTCTTGTATCAGGGTTTCTAATGGAATTGCTCAGGTTGCTGAAAATGCAATAGCCTTTAATTAAAATGGAGATTAGTTTTCAGGAAATTGTATTTTGAGTGAGAAAGTGTTGTTTGGAGATTATTCTCCTTTAAGTAAACAAATAGTATTGGTGCTGCCTTGTTCTTTATACACTTAAGAGAAGAGCAGAAATGATCTGTGTATGTCTGCTTGCCAACAGAAGAAAATTTCCCGTTGAAAATGCAAGAAAGCATGAGCAAATGTCACCACTTACTGCAGAGAGTGAAGAGAGTCTAGGCCAAAGAAGTCTCAGTACAGTGTTGCTTGTTTGTGGTGGTCTGAGAACTCCAAAGGGGTATGAATAGGGCAGTGTAGTCACTGGCAATCAACTTTACTCTGGGACTTCAGTTTCTGCAGAAAGCAACATTCTAGTGGGCAGACCTACAGCTGCCATTGATCTACCTTTGGGAGCTAATGTTTTTTAAGTTAAAGTAGTTCTCAGTTACCCAAAGGTTATGTACAAGCTATCTCAGGTGCAATAGCTCAGTGGGTCTGCTGGATGCCTGGGCTCCCATGTTGGATGAGCCTGGCCACTAGCAGGGACAGACGACATTCCCACTGCACTACTACAGACCCCTGTAAGGACTGTATTTTCACACAGAATTCTAGATATCAAGAGAGGGACCATAATAATGCTGAAACTCTTCAGAACGTGTGACATGAAGACTATGAGCACTACTGCTTTTATAGCACTGGTGGCCTAAGGATATAAATGAAACAAAGTTTACAGGGAGAAGTAGTATTTTTTTATGAGATTGGAATTGATAGAGTTAGAAAAGGGACAGATAAGACTTTGAGCATACTCACAAGATCCTAAAGTACTTGGGGAAGGATTTGGTCTCTGAAAATTGTTCTTTTTTTTTACTCTCAGCTGTAGATGTAGGTCTCATAAAATATGTTTTCTCCCCCTATTAGTCTTGCCAAGTTGTGTAAACCCTTCAGTGTGTGGCTTTCCTCCCAGAGATCATACCACTTGAGTTCAGCATGCAGTTATCGCTGTTCCCATTCCTCTCTTAAGCTTCTGTCTCTGTCAGTGCTTGGAGACCCTCAGGGTAACTTTGGCCTTTTTGATTTGAACTGGCTGTAAGTCAGTGCAGAGATGTGTGGATGGGTGATCAATACATGTCTTGGTTGTTTTTTATGTCTTTATTTTTCTCTGTGATGGTGTAGACTCTGCTATCCCAAGAGAGTACAGCTGAAGTTGATCTGAAATGTAGCTCAGAATCTTAGCACTTTCCATGGCAGTGACAAAGCTACTGGGTATGGAAGATTCTTCTGAGATTTAGAAGCTGAGACCTGGTTTGAATTTGGGAGTGATGCAGGCCAAG